CGGTATTTGTGATATCACAAATCCCGGAAAATATGTGTTGTAGTCCAAACGAGTCGTTCGTTGTAGTTTTTGTTCATTGTAGAAAGTGATTTCTGTTAAATAAAATATCATCTTTTAAAGGGGTGGTTGATTGCGATTTCACTTTTTTAGTGAAAAATAATGCGTTTTTTAACAAACTAAGCATTAACACATGTTAGACTGCACCCCATAAACACAATCAAGCCTATAAAAAAAAACAGTCAACCACCCCTTTAAGCATGACATGAGGCTACCAGTAGTGTTTCGGCGCAGTGCCACTTAGTGGTCAGGAGATATGAAAAATGGCTATTTTTGCTTATAACTTCTGAATGGTTTGGCCAAAAATCACAAAACTGGTCTCTTTAGATTCAGTGGATCATGTCGAGTCGAACCATAAAATGCTATATTTTACGAACGCATTAATGTATAGTTACGAAAATCGGTATGTGTCTTCGGCACCATGACCTGATGGTACTCAAAATGTTTGGTGGCGTTTGAATAAATTGGGCTATTGTAATAAAACTGGTCTCAATATTTTATTTGGGTCATGCAGAGAACATCATACCAATTATGCAAAAATTGGCTGAACTTCCTGTCCGCCATTTTGATTCATGTTGAAAACCTACTTTTTCGAACTGCTCCTAGTTAGTCTGATTTTCACCAAATTTGACTCGGATCATCTTCAGACCAAGCTGGCAAAAAGTTATTTCATGTCGATATACGAAACGGTTTTCATTTAGTGTATCAACGAATTTGCTGGAAAGATGCCAAACTGCATCTGAGGCTGCATCTCTGCAAAGTTTTGACATATTGACACCAAACTTTGTGTTTGCCATCATTACCTCACACAACACACCACATCAATTTGATAACAGCGCCACCTATTGGTCAAAAGTGATAAGCCATTAAATCATATTACAAGAAGTTGTGTTTATGATTTTTCAGCCATTTTGCTTCAAATCATCCTAAACTTTCTTTAATTACTCATTGTTGCAGTTGGTCTGATGGTCCATGCCATGCTTAGCACCTTATTTTGCCTTTGGAGTGCTTGGCCCCTTAATTGCTGCTTGCAGCTATATTTTTTATTATTATTATATTTTATTTAATTTTTTGGAAGGGACACTTTACTTGGGGGTCCGTGGCATTATTATTAAATATTAGTGTTATTACTAAACAAACAAAATAAGAAATATTACTAGCATAAATTTTCACTGTAAAATAAATTAGGAAAAATAATAATAAAATTATTAATAGTCATCATAATATTTATAAGGAATACAAATGATATATATATATATTTTTTTTTTTACGTACAAATGTAAAATTACAATACTAATTTTCATGACTATCTTATTTCCTTCATTTTTGCCCTGTCCAAATACCCACACTTGTGGTCTTTGCACTTGACCACTTATATGACGCATTTCCTGTATTTGGCCCAAGTGTTCAAGTGAGCATGAAAACCACAAGTGTTACCTGATGGGACACACTTATAGTGTTGTAAAAATGCAATTTTTACAGAGCTTTATTTTTTATTTTCAATGCTTTGCATTTTAAAATAAACTTCTAAAATGTCTGTTCAGTAGTCCCTATAACAGATGACAATTTCATTTGTGGTGCTTCTAATTAAGTAATAAAAAGCTGTTGTACAAAATAAATATACTCATCTTTGCACCAATAAAATGTGTAACACTTTGTTTTACTACCAAATTATATGTCTCTAATTAAATATCTAATTATTATTCATATTTAACTTACATTGGAGAGTTTTCCGTGACCTCTTGCGAGATCTCGGCAAAAAGTCTTATGATTTATTTCCAGAACATGATGGGATACACTAAGCTTTGAATACTGCTCTGTAGCCAAGTGTGGGCTTAGTGTGCGTTAAGGGCACTGCGCTTTGGCATTTTTAAGAACTGGGACAGTCTTGCACACTTGCTTCCTGTCACGTGCACGCACTCTCAAGTGGCCAAGACCACAAGTGTGGGTATTTGGACAGGGCAATTCAAACATTTTATATTGGTGTAAATCCAGGAGCCGTTAAAGCTTCTTTTCTGTTGACAGTTTGAGAAGATGGTTGGTGCATGTTGTATTTCCAAATGCATGTTAAAAGTGATCCAAACTTGGAGCACAAGCAGAGATGAGTTAATGTAGAACAGCATTTAATGAGAACTGAGCTGCTCAAAGAAACCTACAATATCTCTTTTTTATCATTTATCTAAACAATCTAGTAAACAATTAATCTTGCAGCCCTACAACAGACTTGTGTAGTAACAGTGACAAATAATTATCAGGAAGATTTAAGATGACATTATCAAGTTTGAAAAGGACAAAGCTTTCTCACCACGTAAGACACTGTGAGGTCCAATAAACAACCCTCCAGAACACGGGCATGATGCCATCTGGAATGTAGCTCCATGGTTTATAGCACACTCTTTGGGTGCTTTGGAAAAAAAAACAGAATATAAGTTCACAAACATGCAATATAAGAGTTTTGTGCTCAATCATAACAGGCCTAACTGAATATATGGGCTGCAGGTGAACTCATAGGTCTACCTTTTACTGGGTGAGATGGAGGTATTTGGAGTTGTCTGGTTTGAAAGGACAGGGCTCACAGAGGGCGTCTGGGCATGTGCTTCGTGATCAATTAAACACTGCTTGTAGATTGTCTGAAAATCAATTACACAAGTTGCCGAGTTGCATCAGGAATGAACTGCACTGGACACTTCTACAGGGCTCTCAAGTCTCACGCATTCACCGTGAGACACACGCATTTCAACCAGTTCACACGCTCTCACGCCACACCTTGTATTTCTCACGCCGAGAAGTAAAGGATAATTTGTCCCGCTATATATACAATTAATAGACGAGGCGCAGGCATACGGAGGGAAGTTCTCTGCTGAGTTCATAGCTGTCTCAGAGTTATACAGAGTTAAATGCCACCTACCAGCCAATCAGAAATTAGAATGTTGTTGTTTTAGAGTAAATTAGGTGATCCTGCTGCAAGCGCGTTCGTTACCAAGCAACATAGATGCGTGCACACACTTCGTACTTACGCTTCGTAAGTTGAAAGAGCAAGATCTGATGAATGCAACATTTTTTTTTTAGCATTTTGATTTTACGATTCCTGGAAGTAATCACTTACCTGTGATCAAAGATAGTGAGAGCTGACATTGGGAAGCCAAATTCGTGCTAAATTATTGATATAAAGTCAAAACTCCAACTGCTTTGCAACCAGAAGCTTTAACTTAGCTTTGGCTCCCAGAAACGAAGGAAAGCGCTAGAGATGTTATATCAATTGGTACATCTGATAAAAGACAGACAAATTCATCCAACTAAAATAAATTGTTTTATATATTTTTTTTTAAAGTTTCAAAAATACAAAGAAATTTGGCCCCAAACATGCCAATGCCAGTATTGCAGAACTTGCCCTGAGTATGTCAAGCTGTGTGTAGCCCACACACACACACACACACACACACACACACACACAGCTTGACATACATCCGCATGGCAAGTTCTGCAATCCTACTGTGTATGTACAATGAGTACTGATGTTCAGTTGACTCGTTTGGGGCAACATTTCTTTTTATTTTTGATACATTTGTATTTTTGAAATGCATAAATCTATTTATTTTATTTGGAGTGAGTGAGTGAGTGAGTGAGTGAGTGAGTGAGTGAGTGAGAGTACATACACATTTCAGCTTATAAATGTTTTTTTTTTTTCTGTTGTGTTTGTTGGACATTTTGATGTCTTGATGACAGGTAAAGGGCTCTCATATAAAGCACTGTGGCTTCCCTACTCTAATGCAGATGCAGAGAGAGTTTTCTGCATGGTGGGTTTGAACAAAACCATAACTAGAAACAGTTTGACTCTGGATGGAACGCTATTATCTATCATGATGGTGCTTTATGTGGGAGCCCTCTACCCCTGTCACACACACACACACACACACACACACACACACACACACACACACACACACACACAGCTTGACATACATCCGCATGGCAAGTTCTGCAATCCTACTGTGTATGTACAATGAGTACTGATGTTCAGTTGACTCGTTTGGGGCAACATTTCTTTTTATTTTTGATACATTTGTATTTTTGAAATGCATAAATCTATTTATTTTATTTGGATGAATTTGTCTGTCTTTTATCAGATTTACAGTTGTTATAATTTCTATTTGTGCTGGTCAATTATGAACAATAGGTGAAATTAGACTGCTAGCAAAAACTTGAGAGAATTTGGTTGATGCAAATATTTGAGTGGTCCACCCCTTTGTGTGGACCCTCTACTAACAGATGTAATCTCACTCCAAACTTTTGCTATAACTTGAGAGCCCTGCTTCTATTGAGTGGGAGCCACACTAACCGTGCTGACATCCAGGGGAAGAATGAAGACGATGAGAAAGCATAAATACCAAGCCAGCAGTGTGCCAAAAAGAACCATGCGCTGCTGCTTCTTGAAGTCGCCATAGCGATGCAGGAGGAAGAGAGCCAGGAAAAAGACAACCACAATCTCTATTCCCAGCGCTGCCCCGCTCATAGTGCACACCGCACTCCTCTCACTCTTCCAGGGACTGAGAACAACTGCAAACAGAGAAAGACAAAGACCAAAACACAAATGACATGCAAAAAGAAACAGTTAAAAACCACATTAAATGAAAGTTGGGATGGGGGATTTAAAAAAAAACTCCTCCCTTATGTTTTAATAGACAATAGCCCGTAGTTTGTCAATTTCTGCATATTTTAAGATTTTTTGACAAAAAAAAGTGGAAAATACTACCAATAAATCAAAATCTACACTGAAGACAGTACAAATTTACATAATCTATAAATAATTGTGTAAACTGCATTTTAGCATACGGTTTACGGTTATGATATCGTATGCATTATTTCAAATACTTTTTTTATTTGACGTTAACGTGATTTTAATGGATAACAGATTTAGAGGTTTTTTTTAATTAATTTATTCGACTGAACTGTTTGACAAATGGAGCGTTTTATATGGTTACAAAACAAATGTGCTCTCAACAAGGTAAAACTGCTCCTTATTAAAATATGTAGGCTACTTAATGTGACTCAAACAATTCATGACAGCAGTTTCTGCATCTCAGAGACTCTTTTGTTTTTCCTCATTTGAGCGTAAGGACTAATTATGTACTAATTTCTTTATTCATTCACGCCTGAATAACCCTATGCAGACAATCAAGTTATTTTAATGGCGTGATGGGAAGTAGTGAAAGGATTATTTCCGCAACTCGTTCTTTTCAGAGAGAACAGGTTCTGAGCTTCACAATGCGTGACACTGGAATTCAATTGTTCAACGAGTCATTGACTCGAGAATCGACTCAGACTGAGTGAACAAATCGCTCAGAGCATTGTAAACTGTAGAGACCATTTGCACCATGCTCACAATGCTTTAAGAAATCCAGCCCGACTGGTTTTGAATCGGGTTTTTAAACCAATTCATCAAAAAAAGATCCGACACATGAGAATGATTCGTTTACGAATCGGACATCGCTAGGATAAAGCATACGCATACAAGCCTAATACATTACGTGCAGGGCGTTCTTATTTATACACAACGGTTTGACTACAGCGCTTGCTTTCATCGCAAACAAATCTGTCAAACAAAAATCTCTAGCTGATCTTGCGCGCAGTGTCCGTGTTTTGCTCTGAATCATGGGGATCAAATCAATTCGCCTTACCTCAGATCTGCTGCAGAGAAATATGAGACGCAATAAACTTATATCCTGATTCATTCCCAAAGTAAAGACAACTCTAGAGCATTGCGCGATGATAAAATATTACCTGGAGGAAATCCACATTTCACTGATTTCCAGAAAACAAACGCCACGCCCCTGACGCGTCTTATGGGCGGTGGCCTATTTTCTTCTGGTCTACTGCGAATGAGTGCAAATAACCTGATATGCAATATTAAGTAGTTTTATCAGCAAAAAGGAAAATTACGACGGGCTAAAAACTCAAGTATCAAAGAAAAAGAAAAAAACAATACTTCAGATGTTTAGTTTTTTTGGGTCAGAAGCTTTAATTATATAGTTGTGTGTGATAATCAGTGTTGGGGTAACGCATTACAAGTAACGCGAGTTACGTAATCAGATTACTTTTTTTCAAGTAACTAGTAAAGTAACGCATTACTTTTTAATTTACAAGAGAATATCTGAGTTACTTTTTCAAATAAGTAACGCAAGTTACTTTTTTTTTCCAATTTATTGATTGACAGCTCTCCTGTCCCCATGTTGAGAGAAATCAGATGTTACTGTAGTTCCAAAATAAATATGAATATGCATTAATTCATCTCACTCACAAATAAAAAAAAAAACACAGATTCAGTATTCCTCAAAATGAATAAAAATAATGCAACTCAGAATATGACGCAAACCTGCAATAATTAAATGCTGAACAACACAAATATCCTTTATGTATTTAATCCCATTCTATTAACCAATGTCTTTGCTTGTGTAACTAATTACTGTTGCCAGAAAGTAATAAGTAAAGTAACAATATTACTTTTGAAAGGAGTAACTAGTAATGAGTAATATAATACATTATTTGAGTATCTAGCCTAACACTGGTAACAAGTAAACGTATATGTTTCAGAAATGTAGACTTCTACAAATTAAATGTGTAATCAAAAAAGCTGCTTGGAAAAAATTAGTACTTTGATTCTGCGAAGGCAAAGCCAGTCCTGTCAAAGTCCCTTTGAAGGATTTCTATAATCTTTGGTCCTGTAGAGGGAGCCAAAAACAAGAGGCCGTTTAGCTTGAACAGAAGTGAATGGCAGAGAAGCCTTAAAGGGCTTAACTAAACCCATACATTTTTGATCAGGAAATATTCCTGTGTCCCCCTTTCTCATAGCTACAAGGTGTGAGTAGATAGGTCTCATCATTTTAAGGTAAATGTGCTCAAAGGTCTGAAAAAGCTGTGTGTAGCTTTAAGGAACGTCACTACCGAACACCTTTTTTTTTTTTTTTTTGCAATTAAGCATTTTTGGGAGTTATTCCATAACATTTAGTTTTTATATGTATACCACTATTCAGAACTGTGCTAGCTAACCATGTGCTCATTAGCATCTTTGATCTAGGTTAAAAAATGTCACTACCAAAACAGTCACTACCGAAACATTTGGTGGAGTTTTGGTAGTTTTTTTTTTTGGGGGGTGTTATCCCATTGAATTGTCACTACCGAAACATGTCATCATTTAGTGTTGTCACAGTACCAAAATTTCAGTATTCAGTTAAAATTCTGTAATGTGATGTTGCTACCAAAGCATTACTGTCACTATCGAAACATGGGATGTTTCGTCAAAAATAAAGTATACTGAATTATTAACCAAGATGTTTTGATAGTTTTTGGTTCAATGTATATTCAGACTAATGAAACCTTCATTTTGAAATCGGTATGATCAACTTTTTGCCTTTTACAAAAAAAAAAAAAAGGATTCAAAATACAGCAAATCTCATAAATTACAAATGAAATAGTTAAAAATGTATTTGTTATTGATTCACCTCTGAAAATGTTTTAATAAAATAGCAAAAAATACATTTATAATCTAGATGTAAGCAAAATCTTAATAGGTCAATATAACCCTTATAATTAAATTATTATTACTGTTTTTCGGTAGTGACAAATTTGGAGAGAGGACAAATATTCCAAAACTTCTGAAAAAAACAATATGAGAATTAATTGCACAATTAGTAGAAATGTGTACCTTGGATATTATACAATTTGCATACATAAAAATTATTTGGAAAAAGATGTTTCAAGACGTTTCCAACTCTGACTTTGGACCAGTTATGCAGAATGGTCCATATA